GGGCAGATCCAACGTACATTAACAGGTGATATATTTTTACTCCTGTTAGATAGAAAATGTAAGCAGATATGCTTTTATGAATTCAACAAGCCTACTGTTTCAGAGGTCAGTTTATCCAGCAGGCTGGCTCATTGATAAAGCATCTTACATGCATTCTGGAGATAGTATGCAGTTCAAATTGTATTTGTGGATTGGCTTTCCTGGTGAGATTTCATGTAATTTCCCTCAGTTCCTCTAGGCACATGCCAAGTTAGTTTTTTCAGATTATCTACTACTGCCTCTTTTTATATCCCTTCCAATTTGTCATTCATAATCTTCTTGCTGTAGCTCATTTGTTGCGACATAAACATAGCAATTTATACATCATTATAATGCATAATGTCATGCTGTAATATGGTGTTACATTATACTGGCATTTTTTTTGCTAACCTGAATTCTTGGATTTGGAAGTGTATTATTGGGGGACATTAAAATGGAGGAAATACTTATGGAAGTTCAAGGAGGAGACAAATTGGAGGTTGATGTAACTGTACTGTTTGATGATAAGCAATGCCATTGTGTTGGCTATAAATCAGCAGTCAATCAGTCAGTCATGAGGGTTTTTCCACAGCAGTATACCAGTGATTGTATTTTGTTGCAGGCCACACAGACTGTGTGCGTGGATTAGCAGTGACTTCAGCCAATGAATTCTTATCTTGTGCCAATGATGCAACTGTACGTCACTGGAATGCCACAATGGGAGCTTGCCTTTCAACTTTTTATGGTCATTCAAACTATATCTATAGGTTAGTGTATGGAATTCACAAGAATCTCTTTGATTCTGAAAAACTTATGTTTGCTGTGAAATGAAGTGATGTGCAGTGAGCTGTATGATCAGGTTATGATTTGCAATAGGGCTGAAAGGATATTTCTCTTCACCATCATGTGCAGAACAACTCTTAGTCCCACACAGCTTCCTGTTCAATGGGTACCAGGTACTATTTCCTCCTGAATAAGTACATTGCATGTTCTTTATGCCTCATCTCAGTGGTGTAGCTGTTTTCTCTACTTGCCACATTCACAACAGCTCAAATTATCTATTGTTGATCTCATGGGTGCACATTCATTTTGGCTTATGTTGAATCTTCCCAGTAGCCTGCTGATCTTGCTGGAGGTGCCTTGCATGAGATCACTTCCCCAACTTATTTTGGCTCCATATATGTAAATTAAATTAATTTTGCAAAAGTACTATGTGACTTAATGTGTCGTCCTTTACTGCGCAAAGTTCATGGGCAAAAATTAGCTGGTTTGTAGTAATTTCTAACTGTTTAATTTTTAATCAGACAAAGTAACGAGATATATGTGCCCTCTCCAAAAGTTATCTGAAAACTGCCTCTTGAAGGACATATCCAACAGAATTTAACATAGAATCTGTTCTTTATAATAACCTCTTTAAAAACAGACAAAATGCTGGTGCTAGTGGTTTCAGTAAGAACAACAATTTGTAACATATTTTCAATTGCGAACAGTAAAACATTCTGACTCATATAGAATTTGATCTTGTTAATTTACTCGTGAGCTCAGCATGTAACCCATGGATTAAGTAATGTTTTGTTGTTGAATTATAAATGTACATTAATTGAATATAAAATTAAGAACATGTGGTTTGTTTGGCTGTAAGTCCATGTGAACTCTTTCCAGAATCCTTTGTTAGACATTACTATTTTTCAGTATCAAGCATACAAGGTGAGCATTAGTCATAACACATCTCTGGTAGATAATTTACCTACCACCATTTCTATGAGCCAGGATAGCTCAGTTAGTATAGTGACTAGCTATGGGCTGGACGACCGGGGTTTGATCCCCGACGGGGGCAGAGCATTTTTCCTCTAGCCTCTGCGTCCAGACTGGCTCTGGGGCCCACCCAGCCTCCTATCCAATGGGTACTGGAGTCCTTTCCTGGGGGTAAAGCCGGCCGGGGCGTGCTGCTGACCACTCACCCCCATCTAGTGCTGAAGTCAAGAAAGAGTATGAGCTATACCTCCACTCTCCCAATGCGTCTGCATAGTGTTAGTGGGATGCTTTACCACCATTTCTATAGGAAATCTGTTATGAAGAGTGGAAAATGGATGGAGCTTTGGGTGTGGTGGGAGGAGCTTTGCATTGATAGTAGATGTGGAATAACTTACCACATTTACAAATTCATCAATATAAAATTGTGTGACAGGCTGTGATGTCCAGATTTTATCCTCATAATAACTGGTTATACCTTAGCAGTATCCTGGAATATTGCTTAGTATATTGTGTATTACACTAATATTTACTTTTTCAGCATAAGTGTTTTCCCTGGAGCAGGGGTCAACAGTTTTGTGACATCAGGTGAAGACCGCACAGTAAGAATATGGAAAAATGGCGAATGTCAGCAAACTATAACACTACCATCCCAGAGTGTCTGGTCAGCTGCATGTATACAAAATGGTGATATTGTTACAGGAAGCAGGTAAGAATTTTAATGACTCAGGCATACTACAACAAAACTGTATGCTATAGGATAGTGATTTTTGTGTGTGATGTTAGATCCATTTAAATACTATATATGTCCAGCTATAAGCCAAGGTTTATTTTCATTCTTATTTTTGTTACAAAATAGGAGTTAATTTTACACTCACAAATTAGAAAAATATGCAGAAGAATAAATTAAACTCAATGATTTCTGGGACACTGTATACTACCAGCCTGTGTTGTATCTTCAAACTAGAGTAACAGCAAGGTATTATGAGCCGGGATAGCACAATTAGTATTGTAGTGACTAGCTACGGGCTGGACGGCCGGGGTTCGATCCCCGACGGGGCGGAGGATTTTTCCTCTAGCCTCTGTATCCAGCCCGGCTCTGAAAATGTATGCAAGTGGTACTGTTGTATTGTAAATAGTCTCACAACACATGCATTCATGTCATGCTATTCTTTATCTGACAGCAAGGTATTGTATTAATATGAAAATGTATGCAAGTGGTACTGTTGTATTGTAAATAGTCTCACAACACATGCATTCATGACGCTATTCTTTATCTGGAAAGTATCTGTTGACAGATTCTGATAAAGACAGCATCTTGTGATATAATATTTTTTTCTTTTTTGGTTACCCCAGGCAGAGTTGTCAGTTCAAACCACATGTATACCTCACCAGCTTCAACCCTATGTTGGTAAAACTGGAAGTAGCTGACGAAACTAGCAACCTTATACTGAGCTTTGAGAATATTCACCATATTTCCTTGTAGTGAGACATTTACTTCATTAATTTCAGTAAAAAATCTGCAAGGTATACCAATTTTAGAATGAATGTATGGTCCATAATTTTTTAAAGCAGTTCTTGCTTAGCAGGTCTCTGTCTTTCAGAGAACACTGATATTTCTTCTCTTAGTTGCAGCCCTTGGTATAAGACTTTTCAACCTTTATAACTAGTGAACTTCTGTGCGAAACAGAAATGAACTAAATTAACCTCCTGCCTCTTCACACAATATTTTAAAACCGTCTACAACCCAGAAGACAGGCATAATTGATAAAATATTGTTAAAATAAATATTTTTCTTAATGATTTTACTCTCTTTATCAGAAGGGTGTTACTGACCACTTCATTACCACTGAAATATGCCCTATTACTCCTTAAGGGATAATTATGCCCCATGTTCAGGACCACTGAAAAAACAGACTTTGGGAGCTGTTGGCAGGAGAATAGGCCCTTACATGGAGATCATTCATTGGCCTCAGACAACTCTTTGAGTTCTGTCTGATACATATTGCTTTCATAGTCTGTGTAATGTAATAATATGTTGATATTTTCAAAGTTGGTGCTTAACTCATAAAATTTTGTATATTGTGCCTTGGGTTCTGATTATTCCAGTAGTTCAGTATATAACATGGTAGTGAAGTATTGTAATGTATGGCTTGTCACCAGTGATGGAATTGTACGAGTATTCAGTGCAGATCTGAGTCGTCAGGCAGATGCAAGTCTTCAGCAGCAATTTGCTGATGAAGTGGCAAACACAAGTTTAGCAGCGAAACAGGAACTTGGAGGAGTCAAGATTAGTGAGTACGTACTAGTGGACATAATGAACTTTACGTAGTTCTTGGTAACCCTATTGATGTATGATGTGCTAGATAACACCGTTGGCAGCAACAGATGTGTGATTTCTAAGTACTTCAAGTAAAACCTCCACAAAATATAATTTTAGAGGTTTGTACTTTGTGAATGTGGGAATTATTCATATTGACACTGAATGTACTATCTTGCCGCGTCCGAGGATTTTCTGTTGCGTGGAAGTTTTTACCACAGATGATGAATTATATAAAAACCTGTTTCCTGTGGAAGGGGCTCCCAGAAGTTTTATGGCAAAAGCTCTTCAGTAGAAAAATTTTGTTGTGACGTCTTTGGGAAGAAAAATGTAGTAAATCAATACTTCAGCTACTTATATATTTTGAGAAATTCTGTTATTTAATTAGGAAAGAAAACTACCGTATGTTAACTTTTTAAATTGAATTAGGAATATCTATCAACCTAAGTAGATTAATTAAAATATGTATGATGTGTTTAGTGGAGCTCGTGTATGGAAATATTTATCTGCTGCTTTTGCAGTTCACGTAAGGAGAGAGAGAGAGAGACAGAAAAACAAGAACAAACAAACAAACAAACAAGGGCCTTCTTTATCCCTGCTGGTTTTTAATTTTGCTCCAGAGTATGTCATCAGAGAAGTGCAAGAGAATCAGGATGGGCTCAAATTGAATGACCAAAACTGATCATTTAGAAAAATGGCATACTGAATGCTTGTTATGGGCAGTTAAACATCTGCTGTGATAAAGATTTCCCCCATGTCAGCAAATGTTCATTATATTTCATGTTACCATTTATACTTCAATAATTGTGTTCACATTAGTATATATTCTGTACTACTAGAACAGCATGTTTATCTTACTGACAATTTACACTTGATTTACAAAAGAAACATTTATGTGAATTCAGTAACTGGGAATCCATACTTCAAACATGTTAGTTTTAACCTTGGAATGGGCATTTACGTAGTATGTTGGTAGGTCATCTGTGGTAATAAGCTTCTCTAATCAAGGTCATGACAACGTACGTATCAAGAAATATTGATGCAGAACTATGGTGAGTAATAGCTGATTACAGTCATGGTTAATGATGGAATTCAAGAGTTCTTGCCCCCCACCCCCTCAGATAAGAACCCTTTTCAAATTGTGAATGTTTTAAATGTGTGTAATGATGAAGGAAAGCATAAATGGTAAATCAATATTGTAGGTTACCAGGAGTAGGTGCTTTGCTTGAGCCTGGTCGCAGTGATGGCCAGACGAAGCTTATACGAGATGGCACAGATGTATATTGCTACAGCTGGTCTGCAGCAAACAATGAGTGGGTTAAGGTTGGAGATGTGTTGGGAGCTAGTGGAGGGACACAAGCAACATCAGGAAAACAATTGTATAATGGAAAGGTAAACAAAAATAAAATAATTTTAAACTTAAAAGAAAAGCAGTCCTTTCTGAATATTCTACCTAAGACATTTCCGTTTTATGTACGCTGTTTAACAACCAAGCCTCTCCATGTGTGTCTGTCTTTCCACTGTTCCTCCTCAGTTTCTTCCCAACTTCTTCCTTCCATGTGACATGTTTCTTAACCTGTTCCTTCGTGATCTCAAGTTTCCCTCTTGGACATTACCTTTACTTTCATGTTCAAACTTCTTTGGAATTCTGTCTTCACTTGTTCATAAAATGTGTCCATACAATCTTATTCTTTTATTTGTTAATTCGCCTTCCAAGGTTTTGTCTTTATCTATGTTTTATTTTTTATTCTTTTTCTTGTTTTGGGTTTCTCTTCTGTCCTAAAAATTTTACCTCCCGCTAGTCTACTAATATCTGCCTTGAATCTCTTCCTGATGTGGCAGGCAAGAGTCTGTATGGCTTATGGAGGCTAGAGTCAAAGGGTTAAATATTAAAATATTCACATTTTAAAGAATTTGTGCTATTTTCTAAAGAGTCACTGATTGCAGTACTCTTATTTCTGGCATATGTTAACACATTACCGTAATATTTTGTGAAGTAAGAATGGCAGATCTTCTGGATACTGAAGGTGTTATGTGTTTCAGGAATATGACTATGTCTTTAGTGTAGATATTGAGGATGGAAAGCCACCATTGAAGCTTCCATATAATTGTGATGAAGATCCATGGTTTGCTGCCCAGAAGTTCATACATGATAACAATTTGAGTCAGCTGTTCTTAGATCAAGTAGCAAATTTCATTGTGAATAACAGTAAGCAGAATATTCCTCTTGGCCCTAAAGATGCATCAGCCGAATTCTGCGATCCATTCACAGGTTAGTAGGATATGAAAGTGTTCAGGTAAACTGGCATGTTGGTTATTTAATTCAAGAATACCATTAATCAGTGATGTAGTGAATATTTTCCTGATTAATCATATGTCTGTTTACTTTCCTATCATTTAATGAATTTTAATTTCTTTTGGGGTTCTACACTGAAAGTTGTTTGGTGAAACTGGTTTTGGCCATATCAGTCCATTGTGACTCCTGCGCTGGTGAAACTGGTTTTAGCCATATCAGTCCATTGTGACTCCTGCGTGAAGGTTGAATCGAACTTTGTCAAATTTAACAAAAATAATCAGCTAAAGAGAAATGGATACATGATAAAATTTAGACCTAGAATTCATTATGATCCTTTACTTATTTGAAACTCCTTTCTTCAGGGTGTGTGCTGTATGTATGTAACAAAATACAAGGAAAGAAATAATATAGTACATTCCATGTCCTTACTATTCATTATGTCTGTTAGCAGTAGCTGGCTATACAGGGTGAGTCAAAATTATGTTACACTACACTGACTTAACTCAAGGAAAGCTAAGAATTGCTTAGTGGGAGAACCATCATTAGGTGAGACATAAACTCCTGCTCCTTTTCAGTTTCTCTGCCCAAGTAATAACTAAGGTTAATGCACAGTCCTTTATCAAATAAACAGTGCTGTTCACAAGCACACACAATAAGAACAATATAAATACTGGCTGTGGCCAAAAAATTATAAATACCAACAAGCTTTCTCATCAACATAAAATATTAACCTTTTTGTTGCAAAAGTTGAGCCCAATATCATCTCTTATTTGCTTCATAATTAATTTGATTACTTATTCTGGTTCAAAGTCAGTGATATTAGCACGATGCCAGAATTTCTGACACAGGCGTGGGTACGTGGTGGGTATTGTGTACCATTGCTGGCCTGAGGGCATGACTGAACTGTGAATGAACAATTTATATCATAGTCTGCTGATGGTCATGAGGCTGGAAGGGATCTCTTAAGCAGAATTTTGGGGTTTTGATTGTGTTTAGTATGAGTATCAATTTTTATTTTGAGTAACGAATCTTGTTACAGCTATTACTTTGTTTTTTCATAGTGTTATTTTTTCCTGTGTTATTTCAGGTGGTAACCGATACATACCTTCTGGTAGTTGTGGTGAAGCAAGTCCTAATATTGTTGCAGATCCGTTTACTGGTGCTTCCCGATATGTTCCGTCATATGGAAATGGGGTATCAGACTCTGTTCGTTGTTGCAGATCCGTTTACTGGTACTTCCCGATATGTTCCGTCGTATGGAAATGGGGTATCAGACTCTGTTCAAGGTGTGTGGCTTATATTTGTTTGAAATTATGTGGTTTAGAGCAGTAGCATAACAGAAGGAATTCAAAATGTTGGTTCCAAGGCCCTGAAAAGGAAGAAATATGATCATAGGAATATCAGAATAGTGTGCTGTAGAGACAACCAACTACAACTGAAGGGAATGTTTGGTGTGAATTGTGGAATTGTCTGAAGCCCCAAGTAGTGCAGAACTACAACACACACAAGCTACATTGAAGCAAGTGACAGGATGTTCAAAAGCTCTGACATAAGTTTCAGAATGAAACATGACTAAAAGATCTGTTATTTAGTTAAAATTTCAAAATGGAAGCTGTGTGGAGTAAAATTACCCACTTGCAATTCAGGGAACAACTTATTTGCGACCTTGTCATAGCAGCAGAAGACAAGGCTGTAAATTGAAAGGGAGTATGAGGAAGGTCAAGTTTAACATCATCTCTGTCGTCATGTCTGTAGATAAGGCTGTTATGTGACCCATGTGTCGGACTGTGCATTTCTCTGTGTGTTGGAATCTACTGGCATATAAATTGCTGTAAGGAGTGGAGGAATTTAAGAAAGAAATTTATCACAGTACTTGTGTCTTGGCAGGTAGTGACTCCGGCTCAACATCAGTGTCCCATGCTGTCTTGGAAAATTGCCCTGTGAAGCCTTTTTTCCCACAGAAGACGTATCTTCGATTTGAGCAGGCTAATCTTAGTGCTATTTCAGGTGAGAAGAAATTTAATCTGTTTGTCTATAAAGGTTTATTGTGAATCTAGGTCATAATTGCCAAGCAAAATGTGCAAGAAGTTGGAAAAGCCTCTGGTTTGCAAACCAGGTTTTGTAAAGAAGGACAGTTATTAGTGTGTGAATAAAACTGTTGTTTTTCGGTGCTTGAGGTATCCAGCTTTACAAGATTTAGCTATACTGGAATCATTCCTGTATTAAGTGAGAACATATAATGGGCAGAGTCTGGAAGTTTCCACATTCCTTCATAGTTGTATTATTTCAGATTTTACACCACATATGTTAATGTTTTAAAATTTACCTTCATAAATTATTATAACAACCCAACCACCATTGGCAACCAATTATAATGTTCGTTGTTGTCTTACCTGACGGTGACTTACTGTCCACCGACCACGAGAAAAGCCCTGCTGCCGGGAGGTCGGTTCTGGTGCGGTGCAAGGGGAATGTTTCTTATCAGGTGGACTAGAGGGCTGCTATTGGTGGAAAGTGTGACATGCCACTACTACATACAGACTGAAAACATGAAGCAGTTAAGAGAAGCATGTAGAGAGTGCACATGTACTGTGTTCTGTGGATGTTGCTATAATATCTTAGATTAAATCACTGTGCCACTGTGAGGTAATCTTAAGGCTATACCCATGAAAGCCTGTTGTCTGTTGTTCGTTCAGTGGTTGTGGAATGAATGCTTTTAGGATGGGTCGTCACTCACCGCGAAATCTTGCGCATGCGCGTATAACGAATTCCTAACAGGCATTTTCTCCTGGTCTGTGGACTCTACTAGTTCAGTCAGTAGTGGCTTCTTAATTTTTGGCTTATTTTTCTCAGTGTAATGTTTTGGCTTAGGTTTACGTACATTTTTATTTCAGTAGTAGTAAATTATAATTTGTAAAAAAGTGCATACACGGTGTAGTTTATAAAGTTCCCATGGCCTTAGGACAGTTCTCATGAGTTACATTATATCACGCCTTCAGTAGGGTATAGTTCAGAGTAGCGCGGAAAACATACAATTGTAGGTTTCATCTGTACCAGTGAGTCAAAGTCTCAGTACTGGAACATGGGATTAATGATGCTATGTCACCGTTGATTATTTTGATCAGAACTGTCCTGAGAATATAATGTAGATGCTGTGTGGAACCGAGTACCCAATATTTGGGGCAGTTAGTTATCTCCTGAATGGTGTGCCTTACAGAAAATATTGTTTTTGAGAACAATTCAATGCAAGTTATGTCAGAGCAGTGATGTCCGTAGTTGGGGAAAGCTTCTCTTTTTTGTGTTAGAAGAAATGGTTAAGAATAAAAGTGTTCCATTTCATGAGAACAGTCAAAGGGAAAGTAAACCAGGATATATAGAATTATAATATTGAGTGTAGGTGCAAAGTTTCAGTGGAAGTTGCCTGCACTATTACACTAAATCCCACTTTGTCTGATTTCAGAAAAATTGATAGAATTTAACTGCAGTAAGGCAGTTCCCAGTGTAAACAAGATACATGAAAAGTATCTGGAGGGTATAATAAAGCTGGCTGAAGCTGATGCCACTGAGAACTTATTCCACTTCAATTTGCTGTTCATACTTCTTGAGTGGCCAGAGGGTGAGTATGAACTGCACTTGCTTTTGTATGTGAGGGAAGGAAAATAAGATTTGAGGTTTTCACTTCGGTGAGTATGAAGATTTCTGTCTTCTGGGTTGTTGCGCTGTGTAGTCTGGTAGATGGTTACCAATGTTTTGGAGGAAATACTTCCTCCGTCATCAGGGCGATGAATCTACCATACTACACAGAGCAACAACCCAGAAGACAGAAATCTTTATACTCACCGCTGTGAAAACCTAAAATCTTACAATGAGTATATGCCGATAAAAGACAATGGTTACCTGTGTAACAGTGCTGATAACATTGTCTGGTTGATAAATATAATGATAACGGCGCTAGTCCAGTTCCTCGCAACATAACCATTCGCCTTCGTTTGGATAAAATAAATAAGACAGCTATTTCTGTAAATAAGTACCACAACAATACATTTTTCCTATTAAAATATTCTGTTCGAATCACGGTGGAATTACTGAATGGCCAGCTTCAAGTATTTAGTAGGAAAATGCAGCTGTAAAAATACATCAGAGTTTTTTTTCTCCACAGTTTGCAAATTAATTATTCATAATCATTATCCCTTTCGATGCTGTATAACCAATGCAACTGAAAGGGACTCGTTAAAGAAGCAAGGTCTAGAAATTAAATGTCTACCGCGACATGGGACCGCCAGTTTTATTTCCCCTCTGAAGGAAGTTGTGCTACGGATTTTTATCACCCTTAAAAATCCATCGACCTCAGCCAAGTTTGAACCCGCAAACCTTGGGTCCAGTGGCAAGCACGCTAACCGGTAGTCTACTGAGGGCGATGGAACCCACATTTAGATTTATGTAATGTATGAGTCAAAGTAATATGCAGAAAAGAAATGGTGACAGTATTCCTGTTTGTCTTGATGGGTACCACAACTGATTGTAGTTACTTGCTTGTACCAGAACAGTTGTATGTAGTAATTCAAACTGCTGGTACTGTATGCAGTTCTTTTACTACTAGATGTAATCACTCTCTCACTATGATGATTGAAAATATATGTAAAGATACATTGATTATCTGAAATAAATGGGCTTTTGCTAGTATGACTGAAAGATGTGTTTCTGTTTTACAGATATTGTGTTCCCAGTCTTAGATATTACACGATTGGCAGTTCGCAATGCAGCTGTCAACTCTAGCCTTTGCTCTGGAGAACTGGGTGACAAACTGTTCAAACGTTTGGAACGCTTCCTTGTGTCTGATTCACTTCCAGCTAATCAGATGCTGTCACTACGCACTGTGTGTAATATGATGTCACATCCAGTGGGCAAGTTCCTGTTCTTCAAGAACAAGAACTTTCTGTTGTCTGTTATATTTAATCTTGCCCCACCCTTCAACAAACAAGTGCAGGTAAACCTTCATATTCAGTAAATGACAGACAGTTATTTCAGGAGGAATCTGAACAAGGGATTGATCTCAGTCAGATCTCTCATTCTTGGCATGAATGCATTATTATTACGTGGCTGAGACAGCTGGTGGCCGTATGGCTTATGATGGTTACCTAATAAGATTCGGTGGCTCATTATAGTTGCTGGTACAGAAGTCATTATCATGAGAAGCAATTGAATACAAAGAATATATAAATTCTTCATGATTCCTTATCTAAAGATTCATGGTACTTGTCTGAGCAGGATATAGGGACTTTGTACGTTAGGAGAGGCCAAAATATGAATTGGGCTGTAGACCAGTGATTAACCTTTATATGCTGTACATCACACTTTTGTAATATGAACATAGAAGGCCAAGATAACGCTGACCATTTTAGTCTGTTGAAATAAATTAGTAAATAAATATTTGATAATGTTAAAACTTTACATACCGTGTAGTGTATTAGAATATAAAATAAGCAAACAAACAAACAAACTATTAACACTATAAAAAAAGACACTATTGCCATACGCGTTTCAACCTCAAGAGGTCATCATCAGTGGCAACAGGGAAATTAATTCATTTAACCAAAATGGTTTAGAAAACTAATAATGAAGTTGAGTATTTTACAAAAGCATATCAAGCAACACTACACTGGATGTTGGTATTCACAGGAGTTGAACTCTGCACTTAGCTATTGATCTGGTAGCAGTAGCTGGTCTGCGGTGAGCCGTTATTGCATCGTCCATACCTGTGAACTCCAACGAAGCGTGGGTGTTACTTCCAGTTATCGAATGTATGGGGTATATATAAGCTCGAAGTCAGGGTGGCCAACTATTGAAAATTTACTTTTTCCTGTTTAATGCCAGGTCAGATAATACGTTAGAATCATGGGCGTTTTGTTCATTAATGATGACTTTGTTTTCTACTACTTTTGTATATATGAAATTTTTCTAAAATATCTAGCATTTTACCCTTTGATGCTATTTTTAATATGTCCACGATATCATCTATGGGGCCGTATTCGTGTCCATGTTCGTGGATGTGTTGGGCATATTTGGGTTTTATTAAATTGAACCTGATGTCGTGGCACTAGTGTCTTCTTTATAGTGTTAATAGTTTGTTTGTTTGCTTATTTTATATTTCAGAATGTGTTTAGGACTATACATTCTGATCAGTGTGTTTTGTGTTACTGTGTTCAAAAGTGTGAAAGACTTCCAGAAGGGCTTATTATTTTATTTTCTAAAGTATGCTGTCTTTCACCAAACCCAGTGTTCTTACTATGTTGGTTGTTCATGAACTTTTCTTAAGTATGCTGTCTTTCACCAAACCCAATGTTCTTACTATGTTGGTTGTTCATGAACTACATGAGAGAAAGACATGATAATGTCAAATCCTACTACAGGTGTGAAGTTTTCTATCATTTCTCAGAAAGGATGTCATGAGGGAAACAATTATTTTCTTCACTCTGTGTGTTGTTCTGTATAATAAAAGCATGGTACTACTTCCTCAAAATACTGAAATTAGTATAAAATATTCATTTCTTCTTCTCTGAAATAACATTTTTTTCTTATGAAACTAAAACCCCTTCCATGTGATTTAACCCCTGGCCTATAATTACAGTCTGGCAGTGAATGTGTTAATATTAATGAAGAGAGTCACAAGTAACAACTGTATCATCTGTGTTATGCACAGGATATCAACAGAATGTGCATTAGCAGCTTATTTCTTTCTGTGTTGCAGGTTGCGCTCGCAACTCTTCTCTTGAATCTTGCTGTAGCTACCAAAGACACTTCGACTCCAGACTCACATGGTCGTGCCCGAGCAGTGGCGGCCGCATGTGTATTGTTACCACGTTTGTCTGATACAGAAGCGCTGTTTCGGGGTTTGGTTGCATTAGGTACTTTAATTTGGGATGCTCACAAACTACAAGATAAAATGGAATTGATTGAATCTGTGAATAATTCAAAAGAATTTACAGCATTGCTTGATAAGTTAAGTGGGGGTTCAGCCGTGGACAAAGCGACCCAGTGTGCTGCCCAGGTGTCTGCATTAATACGAGCGTAAGAATTCATAATCTGAAGATAATGCCGTGGTGAAACAAATTTAATTTCAAATTCCTTCATTGCTTTGCTTTCTGAGAATTCCCCATTGCTTAATTTAATGCATGATTTTACTTTGTTATATTAAAGTTGCAGGTATGGAGGTCTTAATACACCATAAACTTAAAGGAAACCTATGACGTCTAATACATATGCTCTGCTTTACACACACAATAGCAAAAATGAGGTACATTTTTAATAATACTTGAGAGACAGTATTGTTCTTGTTTGAAACATCTGATCTTATAATTTCTCAAATATGTAATTGCATTTTAATACTGCAGTGTTTCCAGTGACAGACATTAGTTACATTTGCTCAAATATAAGGTGCACTTTCACATGATATGCCCTGATTTTTTAGATAATTAAATGAAAGGAGGAAGCAAATACATTAGTTTCAAAAAGTAAATGCCACAACTGAAAGATAAACCTGTTGTTTTTATTTAGAATGCATCAAAGTTTGATTAAGCGTTAGGTTATTCTGGGAGACTGATTCTTGTACAGCACGTATATTAGAATAATCAGGTTCTTCATGTGATGTACATTATGATTACAAAAATAAATTAATTTAATACAGTAACATTGTTACAAATTGCCTTGTATAAGAGGTAAAATGTCTGTGCATAATTAATAATAGACATACAACAATATTTCTGTGAAAAGAGCAAGATCTGACCTTCAAAGAATGTTATGCATAGATACCAGTGTTTTGAAGAAACTGTCTCCATCTTCAGGGCTAAAATTGGGGTGTTGGGCAGTGGATAGTTTATACAGGGTTGATAGAGGAGCTAGACTAGGGAGAACTGGCCTATCACAATTTAGGATTGAGGGGATGAGGCCAATTAGGTGTTTCCATGCAGTGTGTGACAGGGAGGAACACTGAGTCGGGATTCTTTCTCGCATCCTCTTCTGACCCAGCTCTTCTCCATGTCTCTACGTAGAGAGTCCCTTTTGGCTCAAACTAACTCCTCATTCTTCTTACTCTCCACTTTCCAGCACCCCCACTTAGCCCTGAAGGTCGAGACAGTATCACTTTCCAGAACACTGGTATCTACCTACAAGTCCACACAGCATCAGAACCCAAAAATGTCATGCGGTATTTTGCCTTTGGGCATGTGAAAGAAAGCCCTTTCATTCCTCTGCAAACTGAGATGAATATTATTTAAATGAAATATATACATCAGCTTCTATTTTGCATGGGTTGTCTAACAACCAGATCTCTTCATTTTGAGGAAGTAGGTTCAAATCCATTATCATGGCTTGCTGGGCCTGTTGTAGCTTTACCGTGATCCTGTTACTCATTCATTTTTGGTCATCAGGTCGTAGCTACCTTGAAAGTGGCAAGCACTAGGTACTTCACTGTGCGAAGCATTCCTGTGTGTGAACATTACTCTCATCCTATGGTATGGGCATTGTAAAATGAATGCCTGATAGTAATGCATTCCTTTTTGCTGCCATGAGGCATTGAAGGCATTAGAAACTGACTGTTGACAAAGTTATATTGTTATTACTGTAATGCTTACGTTTGGAGACATAAGGAAGGGGATATTCTCATAGTGCCTGGGTCCATAAAGGAGATTGACCTCTTTAATTTGGATATCACTCGTATACCTAGGCCAGTGGTCCCCAATGCGGTGTCCGCGGGCGCCATAGCACCCGCGTTGTTACGGAAAGAGGTTATACTGAATAATGAAGGCCGTTCAACCATGAACATTATAAAATCAAAGCACAGATCTCGACTTACTGACGCCCATCTTGACGATTGTTTGCGAGCAGCAACATCATCCTACACTCCCAAATTTGAAAAACTGGCAGATGAAATGCAGCGCCAAACATCACACTAACTTTCCACTTGAGTAATAATAATTGTACTTGTGAAACTACGTATTTTTGATTGCATCGTTTCTTGTATCATTAAACGTCGTGTTGTTCTGTATAATACTTGGTGTCCATATCTTATTTGCAGAGAAAAGAAAATTTGGCTTTGTTAATTGGTTGGTGCCCGCCACAATCTAATAAACTCTCAAATGTGCCCGTAGGCACAAAAAGGTTGGGGACCACTGACCTAGGCTATATAGGCACCTTAGTCTGAGCCTCCCTGGACTTGGGTAGTGCCATGTACCCCCCTTTCCATAAACTCCTGATACTACCTTGGCTCTCCCTGGCTTTTAAGCTTCCTTCTGGCATTCCAAACACTTAGTCTATGCCATGATGGGCAAGATCACATGGCAAAAGTTCATCAACTTCTCGACTGCCACATTAGAATCTCTTCCAAATTGGGCACAGTATGAACTTATCAAACTGGGTAACACTGGCAACTGAAACATTTGAATGTGTATGATGAAATTAATTTATCATGCATATTGTGTATATGCTATAGAATGTTTTCCATGTGGTGGTCATCAGATATTATAATAGATATTTTTTTTAAACTTAATGGGATCTGGGAGCAATAAGTGACATTTTAATACTGATAATGAATCCAGAAAATTTAATTTGCAAAAAATTACTTCTGAAATGTATTTGCTGGCAGAAGAAATTTTGGTGTTTTAGTTGCAAACTATGAATGTGGATTACAACATGATTCCCCATTTTTCAGATGTAGATATAATATAAATATTTTCTGACCGAGATATTGCAAATAAAATCTTTCTTATACAGAAGAATAATTGCCCATTAAATGCTATTTCTAAAATAAATAAATCACTATCTTAAAAGATATTTAACTCTGCAACATGTTCTCGTCCCTGCAGAATGCCTATTAAAATCCCTTTGTCTGCCCGTCGGTTTGTAACAACTTGAGAATGGCTGAACAGATTTTTTATGATTGGATGTGGATTTTCCATGTTAGGAAAGTGCTCACAGTGAAGTATACTTTAATTATTTCTGCTTTCTGTTTAAGTCTAAACTATTTCTAAATATCACTGTACCATAACCTGATCAACACCTTGTATCTTTTATCAATAAAAAAGGAAAAGCATTTAATCTTAGGAAGAAAAATTAAGCACAGAACATACAGAATGCTAACTGATATCTAAGGTTCTCATGGTAGTGAAGCTGTTGATTTTAGTCTCCTGGGTTGTAATATCACATAGTTTTGTAGGTAGTTACCATCTTTACTCTGAAATATTAGTAACCACCACTACAAGACCACATGGCATCAAAACCCAAGTCATGATTGAGATACAGAATTGCAAACTTGGTACTGAAAATGTGAGGAATGTGGCAACCACAGCCCATTTCAGGAGTGTATATACTCAACAGCATAGAGCATCACTCTTTGGTTGGCCTATCTATTGACATGAATCAAAGAACTTCGTGCTCACGCAACATTTAAATATGTAACACTAACAGACTAACTGATGAAGTATGATTATATTGTTAGAATATGGGCACTGTTTTACAAAAAGTTCCTAAAAATACTTTACTAATCTAAAGTCCAGTTTATTTTCTTTGGACTTCAAAACTGTCAGACACAGTCTGATGCTGGAGTGAAACATATTTTGGAAATTCTGGATTAAGTGTGATAGAGACATTTCAACACATTATAAATTGCAAGGGTTAGTTTAAATAATGGGATATCAGGATTTTGGATTGAGACTGACATTGGACTGGAATGTGATTTACCAAGTTTGTCAGTAGCTATCAAGACAAGCGCTGCTTTCACAATCTTGTCATTGAAATGTTATTTTATGATATCAACATGGAATGAAAGTTAAAAGTTACTGTGGGATATTAGATAAATTATTACTGATGGATTGTAATGCCATGTGAACTTGTAGGTAGATACCATTTTGGATTAACTACCTCCATATTCAGCCCAGAAGATGTTCCCCCAAAACACTGGTATCTACCTACAAGTCCATATGGCATTACAATCTGAAGACCATCAACATCTTCACTGCCATGAGAACCATAGATATGATAGATCACTTACAGGTTTGGTCAATTTAATTCACTTTGGTCTGGCTAGTATTATTTATGTATAACCATCAAGCAGGTATCAGGGTGTTGTAAGGAATCAATAAGCATTTCTTCAGTTTTACCATTTTCTGTATTTTGAGAATGTGTATAATAATTAGCACTAATTTACAACTTTATGAAGACTATGAACAGATTGTGAAGTAATGACAGAATGGATGTTAATTTGTTCACAGTTTGTAAGGAGTTACTCCATTAAAAATGGAACACTGGCTTGCTGTATAAAACCATTTAGAACACATACAACCAACTCACAGCACAGGATAACTTTTGCTTTGTTCTGGCAAAGGACTGGTGATTAAATTATGAGAAAATTGGTTTCTTTCAGTGTTGTGACAACATGAATTGTTTAATTTTCTTTTGCATGACAAATGGCACTAAAAATGCAAGAAAGGTGCACAAATTGAATTTAAAGGGCCAATGGAACATACAACAAATTAAATGCAATAATTTTATTTAGTCCACAGATTGGTTGAAGTATATTTTAAGGGTTTTCCATTCTAAACCAATATAACTATATACATATATGAGAACATTATAATAAGCACCAAGACTTGTGTAATTCCGAATTCAGTTGTCTAGTGGTTAAAATTGAACTATTTTATACATTTTTTATGCAGAATGGCTGTATTTTCCTTTTCCAAAAATAATACTTAAGGTGAAATATTTCCAAATTTTTAGGTTTCTTACATGATGTGTCAAGCTGGGTCCAATTAATTAACTCACATATAACTGACTGCAAATACTGAAAGTAATGTATTACACACAAAAGAGACGACATAATTGATTCCAAGAGGTTCTAACGATGGTGTAATACAATCTGGATTGTTACATTTTTGGAGCTTGTCCATTGTCTGATGCTATAAAACTGGATCTGTCATCATCTTCAGGTTTAACGAAGTGGATGCCTACTGTGTGGGGTCTATTAGAATGAGCTAATATCAATCATTGGACCAGTGTCCAGTGACTGAGATGAGGACAGATCCAGTCCTCAAAATGTTGTGTATTTTATAACATCAGATGATGGACAATGTCCATAAATCTAGATTAACATAATCAATGTATGCATTTCTCTCAAAAGTTCAAATCTACAGAATTCACACCATTCACAAATGTACTTACAAGCAAAGTATTAAGGACAGTACTTCAACAAACAGAACAAAAATCAATTTGCACATTCACAGGCATCAATCCAATCATTATAAACATCAACTGGCTCTGATAAGAAGTTTATAGTTGCCTGGTAATCCTCAAGACAGACTCGACATGTTATTTTGGCTGTGTTGCGTCCTTTATCCCTGAAATAAACGTATTTTACATTTTACACAGCCATCACATACACAGGTTATACATTATAATATTACAAAATAATCATATAACAACGTATATGGAACTCATATTTACATTTTTACTTCGCATGACTTCTCATGGTTACAAAATGGACAGTTGAACTGAAGATCTAAAGGCTCAATTGCCTTCCTCTTTGGTGGAGGCTTTCGTTTACTTTTCCTTCGTCCCATAGTTTTACTGAAATGACATACATGAATGCCATATTAAAAACATAACCTATACAAATGTCCAGATTCACAACCGTGAATGTAAAACGAGAAAAAACAATCGTCACATCATGTTTTCTCTAAAGAGTTTAAACAAATTATACAACTACAAGTCAGAATACATTTACTGACTTTTATTAATGTGAATTCCTCTATCAACTCACAAGTAGAACTACCTCTTACACAACGACATATACACGCGTGAGTATGCAGTGTTGCCACAAGAATGACACATGAGTTGCATCATAAAAACGAAGATATATTAATTACTTTTACAAGACGGTAACCTGTCCATACTTTTTATGCTTTGTTGTGTCATTTTCAGGCATGTCCTGCGAACCAAATGATCATCTTCGACGACACATTTCAGCCCAGTTCATACCATATTTTGCTGTCACGTTAACGGTATCAGGACTGAAAATCTTAAACATAAGACTGAGATTGTGTGTTCGAGAAGCAGTTAACCAGCAACCTGCATGAAACCTGGAATGCTTATGCCCTGAAACCAAGCAAAGATATGACAGATCAAAACCCCGAAGAAGTGCCCTGAATTCGAGTCCCTGTCAGGGTGGTTTCTGTAACTCGGAAACTAAGTACAGTAGGACAACACCAGGATCGCCATTATTTGTTCCCACGAAGAGATTACAGGAACAACTAGCACAAACCCGAATAGTGCCCTGTGTTCGAGTCCCGGTGAATATGTTTTCTGTACTTGGAATTAATGGTGACAGAGCAAAGGACGATTGGCGTCCGGTGAATCGAAAACAGAAGACCGTGGCGGACCACAAGGCCCAGAATCTGGCAGGAAGAAGCTTTCAATGGGACAAGTAGTGCATTTTACAGCCCCAGGTATGTGACTGTGAGCAGTGACTGTCGGGACGGATAGGCCAGTTCAGCGTCCGTATGAATTGATGTTAAAAGTAGCAACAAGTGTGATTGTTTAGCGCGTCCACAAGTCAGTCAAGGAAATCGATTTATGTTATCTGTCTATTACACTTTTTTGTTGGCGGCGGTAGTGTTTGTTTCCGTGAGTACTTTGGTACTTCTGACAGAAGAAGGCAACGGGGAGCTATAGGTCTATGGACAGTTTATCAACGTATGCCATGACTTCGTGAAACTCGCCACATGCATTTTTTCAACAGACATCTGTTTTTTCTTCATAAATGACATGTGAGTAATGGACATTTTATTTCCTCTTACTTTGTTATTTTATGTTTACGCTGTGCGATTCTAACCTGTATACATTTTTGTGATCAAACCCATATTCAACTTATTATGTTAGGTATGATTATTATAATGCGTGGAAACTAAAAGATTATTATGAATTGATTAGGTCGTATGTGTGCGTAAATTTGTCTTTTCCACCCATTTCCATTCAACTGTTAGTATCATAATTCTGCTTCGGTTCATCTCTGAATTACACTACCCTTTGTCATTCGAGCATTTACGTTACGGCTGCACGTGGACAGGCTATGATGCTGACGAAGAGAGTAGGCCTACCTGTCTGTGATTGTTTGGAATGTGTTACTAAATGATGCACACTGCTTTTAATCCATGCAACTGCACTTCAGATGGACTGTAACATTATGTGTCTTCTTAAAACATAAAAAGTGGCAGTGGAACCACGGTTCCGGAGAATTTGACGTAAATACGTCTGTACGGAAAGAAAGTTTATATAGTGGCTTTATTTTAAATATTTACATTATACATGCTTTACAACTGAGTAAAGTTTGGTTAAGACATTGCTTATTTAACCTGAATTAGTTACGCTTAAGATGGGTCTGTGGTAGCTGAAATATGTTATAAAATTTGTGCACTTTAGAGTATCAACATATCGTGCAAACACCATATCTATACAAGATTTTGATCTAGTAGTACTACATTCAGGATTTGACATCAACATTAAGCCAAACGTTTCTTCCATAAATGTGACAAAGCTTTGATTTTCCTCCTTCTTTAAATCAATGTTTCTTGTTTTTGGAAAAATTCATCGTTAATTGTAATCTTGTAATGTTTGTACAATGGAGTATTAATTAAATAAGTAAGCCAACGTTTTATTGTATCTTTCTTAATACTTCCTACCAGATATGTAGATCTGTGAATCAAGTTTCTCTTTATATGGACGTTGAAACTGTAATCATCGTCCAATTCTCTAGGTAGTAGCCTTACCATATTATTAACATCTACTGGAACATTGATTACTTGTCCCAGTATCCCAAATGCACCCAATTGATGTCTTAACCTCCAAATTTGCATAAATGGAAGTCTAGGAGATATTAATCTTTCGCTTATGCAATCTAGAGGAGGCAAATCAGTGGGGTATGGCGGATACACAAATCCATTACTCCTAGACAATATAGGTATTTGTTGTTTATTTAAAGACAGCCAGCATGTTGTGCATACTTTAAATTGGGATACATTTTCATTTACAAACTCCTTACTCAATATATCTAAATGGCTATCAGTAACTTGTTTCAAATCTTTTTCAAACCATAACCGATCACATACATTGCAAGCGTTTCCAAATCTATTTTCATTAAAATGCTTATGAAAATGTTCTGTTGCATTGTCATACCTTGGTTGCGCGATTCTTGTAGGATCGCTTGTAGTTGCTAATATGTGGAAGCATCAACTTGCACTAATTGCTCCTTGCGATTTCTACATTCCGTCATACGTTCAGCATTAGTTTTTGGTATTTTTTTGGGAACTTTAGGTTCATTATCTAATACTTCTATATTTTACGTTTTCTGTACTGACTCATATATTCTGTTTTATGGAGTCTTTTAGCTTCACTGTCATCCATCTTGTACATAGTATGACGCAACAACAGATTACTTAATAATTATTATATAAGATAAGCACCTGTGATACTCTAAAACGTTTTTACCAGCACAAAATTATCTACTCCACGACGCACTTCTTCTACAAGCGATTCACAGTTCAGCTCTTTCACGATTGTTGATGGTTGTGATGTAACACAACAATGCCGAGTAAACAGATGAAGTTTCCTAGGTAACATAACAATAAAGTTACACTTTTTCGTAACACATTTTTGCCGAATGACCCTTCCTTATAGACGTATTTACGTCAAAAATAACTGGTATTTTGTATAAATTTATTATGGGGGTTTGTATTTGCAGGTAATGTATACGTATGGAGTTACAGATACGTGAAGAATAAGTATCCAGTTGTGTTGATCTTGTGACTAAGTCCTTCCACCTTCCGAATGACAAATAAATATCACTGTTCTTTAAATCTGTGATATTTCCTAGGTATGGCCTTGATACAGGGTTTTTGTGCTGTTAAATGTAGGAAATGGGGCCGGAAGTAATGGCGACTTATATTTAAGGTGTCTTGGTACTGGATTGTAAAACTACAAAACAAAAATAGGACGGAATTCTAATTGGATACTTCCAGAGTACGAAATAGTACTGACAAAGTAGCCGGTGAAGTTCTGCAAACGCACGCACGCACACAAGGTTATGGAAAACGAATGCCCATATTTTAAAGGGGTTATTAATTATTTACGTAAAAATGGTCCTTGTTTTTAAAATACAAAATAAAGACCTCTAGTATTAAAAACTTTCTTTCCATCGTGCGGTCGACTAGATCGGGGTTATAAGTAAAGATTTAGTAATTAAGCCTCTTTAAATTTTGTATGTCTCACCGCTATAGGGAATAATCTGCAGCAAGGCGAATTAAGTTAGAGGCGCGTTTTACACCAAAAATACAGTCTTTGCGAATGGAATGTGTGCCTGTCATTTTACTGGAACTTTGATCGTGAACCGAAAGTAAGCGAACTGAAAACTAAACACATGTCATTGCGTTATACGATCACGTTTATAATTCGTGTCACTTGAGTTTCAATCTTTCACACAGAACACTTCAGCTTGCGTCAATTTTTGGTTACTAGAAACGGAAGTATTTAAATTAATTCAATCGTTTTGATTCAGTCATTCGAGTAATCAAAATTAAGAATGTGAATATTGAAATACCAGCAAAAATTTGGTGACCCAGTTTTTTACGATGATTTACGTTCTGTCATTATTGTCTGTGTTTTAGAATTGGTATTATAAGTATTTTTAATACTTGGAATGCAGTGTAATAAATCCTAATACAATCTTTTCTAGCGGTCTAGTTCAGGAAGTGTTTGGTGTACGAATGAAAGATGTCGTTTGCACGAAGCATTCCCACTGAAAATCATTTCTCGAGCAAGCCAAGGTTTGTCCAATGAGGCTAAACCTTAGTTAAAAGTACGTTGAAGGTGACTTTCGGTGGCAATTAGTGTGTGAACGACATCACATGCGAACTGAATGTAGATGTTCATTACTGTAGTCGAGGCAGCGGACTTCTCCGCCTGGAAGAACGAGTTTTTGATCGTTAAGAGCTATGCAAGGATTAGGATAAGAAAGCGAACTTCGTTACAAAGGACCTGTTTGTTAATAGCGGAAAGGACGAAGTTAATTACAGGGCTTTTTCAGGGAGAACAAGGCATTTAATGTGGTGATTTGATGTACTTAGCGACTTAGCCATATGATTACCTCATTTTAACTGAATTACCTTAATTACACTAACAATACAGTAAGGTAATTAATCGTGATGTTCGTTGTGTTAAAGACAAACTTCCGGTTGTCGCTTGGAGCCAAATTCGTCAACAGTTTGTTTTCAAAAAGTGTTACTTATTATAATTTATATTCTCATTTTAACAAGAGGCCAAAAGGATACAAAACAAGATAAACTTTTTACCGCGGAGGCCCGGGTTTGCCGTTGGGTCAGTCCATGCGGGTTTTGTAGTGTACAAGGTGACCTTGGGACAGGTTTCTCTCCGAGATCTTTGGTTTTCTCCGTCAATATCATTCCACTTTTGCTTCATATTCACTTCTATTGTATGGGGATGGACAAAGGGTCGTTCTGCAGACTCCTTCGCAACAATAATAAGGAATTACTTTTTCATGCTTACTCATATATTCATTGTTTTCGGATCTAATTTCTTAGTTAGGTATTCCCCAGCTACGAATACCGCATTCTTACTTCCTTTACGTGGTAATATATAGTTATTTATTTTAATTATTTAATAATTGTGTTTATTTTCATTGCTTGCCTCTTATAGGCCTTTATATGCAGCGATCATTCCATTAAGGAACTGAATTGAATTTGCATTAATCTTAATAATAAGTTAGTAAAAAAGTAAAGCTATCCCACTACGCGCCATGTAGGCGCTCAGGGGGGAGAGTAATATAGCTCCTACTCATTCTCAACTTCGGCACTAGATGGGGTGAGTGGTCTGTGTCAAGACCCGGCCGCGCTTTAGCACCCACCCTCCCCCCACCCTGGGGAAAGGAAGTAAGATAACAGTACTGTTATTATGTAGCAAAACGTGCCTTCACGTGAAGCTTGGAAGCATAAATCCACGTGGACCAGTAGAAAAGAAATTATTGCATAAACAAAACTGGTTAGAT